AATGGCATCATACTGAGTGATTTAGATATGAGATGGAAGAAAAGGTTAGAATTGGAGCAAATGTCCCCCTATCTCAAATGGTTTTTTGTTTGTTTTTTTTTTTTTTTTTTTTTTTTTTTGAGACGGAGTCTCGGTCTGTAGCCCAGGCTGGAGTGCAGTGGCGCAATCTCGGCTCACTGCAAGCTCGCGCCTCCCAGGTTCACATCATTCTCCTGCCTCAGCCTCCTGAGTAGCTGGGACCACAGGCGCCCGCCACTGCGCCCAGCTAATTTTCTGTATCAAATGTATTTTATCTCCATGTTGTTTCATAGTTTATTAATTTGAAGATGCTTTGTATGTCAGCTAATCATTTTCAACTCTAGGTCTGGAAAAATCAAGGGCATGATTTCTGAAATTACACTTAGCCTAAATAAAACTTAGAAACACTGTTCACCTTCTTACAGTGTTTTTGACTGAGTCTTTTTCATTTATAAGTGACAGGAGGTGTTACTATAATATTATTTCCTAGAATGTCAAATTTTGAGCCTAACAGCATGGTAAATTTGGCTATATTTGTTTATTGTTTGTTTTATGTTTTGAGACAAAGTCTCACTCTGTTGCCAGGCTGGAGTGCAGTGGCATGATCTCAGCTCACTGCAAGCTCTGTCTCCCAGGTTCATGCCATTCTCCTGCCTCAGCCTCCCGAGTAGCTGTGACTACAGGTGCCCGCCACAACGCCCGGCTAATTTTTTTGTATTTTTAGTAGAGACGGGGTTTCATCGTGTTAGGCAGGATGGTCTCGAATTTGTGACCTTGTGATCTGCCGGCCTCGGCCTCCCAACGTGCTGGGATTACAGGTGTGAGCCACCACGCCCAGCTTCCCACTTCTTTTTAATATGTAGTGTCATAACTGAACAGTAAAGTGAGCAGATTATTAGGTTAGATCTGAAGTGTCAGTCTGGTCACCAGTGCCCAAGTCACTGCCCCTATGGTAATATTGGTTACTTCATATTTTCCTACAGCAAACATAAAATTTGTTATAGTGAGATTTTTACCTGTATACCTCTCTTCTTAACTTTAATGTTATTACCTCAAGGAAGATATTATAATGAATGAAGATTCCATGATGAAAGCTTTGCAGAGTTTATTACAGTAATTTAGTACTTCATTAGATCTTTAGTTTTTTAGGAGCATAGCACTGAATGTTTGTTTCTTTGTTGAACCTTTTGAAAACTGGTTTTCCATTGATGCAGTGTAGCTATTACAGGAATATTATTTTTAAAACATTTTTATACAGCATGGCTGAAAATTGAACCTGGACCTGCCTCATGGCCTACCGTTGAAGGAATAGCATTTTTTGCCTACCTAGAAAGACAATGTTAAATATGCTTTCTATATATTTTTTGACTTGTGCTACCTACTGTGCGTTTATGTTTGTGGAATCTGGTTTCTTTTGGACAAAACCACAAATCAAAAACACCTCATTTCTTAGGCATTTGAAATCCCTAATTCAGAATAATCTCCCAAACAGAAACACAACTACCTGCGTTGTTTTTGACAAAAGAGCTAAGTAGCATTAAAAAATTATTTTAGGCCAGGCACGGTGGCTCACGCCTGTAATCCCAGCACTTTGGGAGGCCGAGGCAGGTGGATCATGAGGTCAGTAGATCGAGACCATCCTGGCTAACGCGGTGAAACCCTGTCTCTATTAAAACTACAAAAAATTAGCCAGTCGTGATGGTGGGTGCCTGTAGTCCCAGCTACTTGGGAGACTGAGGCAGGAGAATGGCGTGGGCCCAGGAGGCGGAGCTTGCAGTGAGCCAAGATCACGCCACTGCACTCCAGCCTGGGCAACAGTGCAAGACTCCATCTCAAAAAAAAAAAATTTTTTTTTGACCCCAATTCTGTTTTTTAACAGAATAAAATTCTTCTGTTCTTCACTTTCTTCTTTCACAAGTAACGTATTGAAAGTAGGGTTTATTTGGGGGAAGCATTTCTTTCTGTCTCTTATCTCATAATAAATACAGGTGTGCTTAACTGCTAGTTTCCTACCTCAAAGCACATACTCAAATCTAAAGATTTTTAAGATTTTGGAATCTGAAGAGTGTAAACATTTCTCCTAATCACAGTGTGACACAGACAAATGAATCAAGCCAATGCTACTTTTATTTATGCATAGTAACTGGGACTTTTCTTTTTGGAAATCAGATACATTTTGTATGTATTAGTAACTTGGAATCCTGCATTAGTTATCCTTGCTCTCTCAAAGCAGATGTTGAAATTATAAAGGTGCACAGTTTCTCCATGCAACACTGAAAGTTATATTTTCCAAGGCTTTGTAAAATTGTAGAATGTCCTGTTAAATTTCTGTCAAATCAGTAACTCACACTGTTTTGAGAATTATGAATAAAGGAATAAAATATTGTTAGTGTTTATTTAGTACAAAAGTAGATTATAGAATCTCAGCATTTTTATCAAAAATACTCTTTGTGATGGTTGATGTATCAGGAGACACTTAAGGCCATATCTGCTTTCAGTAATCAAAAATGCATTTAAGATGTAGAAACTTGAGGTAGCAGAAGTATACATCACTATAACATATTGATAACATCCTTTGGTATAGAAAATTATATTCCCAGAGTGAGTTTCTTTTTTAAAACCGTTAATGAGGCCAAGGTGGGAAGATGACTTCAAGACCAGCCTGGGCAAGATGGCGAGACCCTGTCTCTACAAAAAATTAACTGGGTGTGGTGTTGTACTCCTGTAATCCCACCTACTCAGAGTCTGAGGCAGGAGGATCCCCTGAGCCCAGGAAATTGTAGTGGCAGTGAGCTATGATCATACTACTGTACTCCAGTCTGGGCCACGAAGTGAGACCCTGTCTCTTAAAAAAAAAAAAAAAATTAGCTAAGCATGGTGGCATGGGCCTGTAGTTTTAGCTACTTACGAGGCTGAGGCAGGAGGATCACTTGAGTCCAGAAGTTCAAGATTACAGTGAGTTATGATTGTGCCGCTGCACTCCAACCTGTGTGACAGAATAACCCTGTCTCTTGGGTGGGGGGTGGGGAGTTGATTATTTACTTTGAAATATGTTCAAAACTGATTCCTGTTCTATATTCCTAATGAACAGAATAGACTTTATATAAAACAAACGAACTTTAGGATAAAATTTAATGGAAGTATGATATATATGTGTGTGTGTATATATATATATTTTCCAGCTCTTCTGTCTTCTAATATATTTATTACATAAAATGAAATTACTTTGTTTCCACTTTGTATCACTTCAGTTCTCCAATAAATCTGAGAATTCTGGTAGTGTGAAATATTCAACTTTGTTTGCTTATTTACATAAAATGTATAAGGACAATTTGTGATAGTTAAGAGTTACATTTAAATATCAGTAAAAAGTTGTTATAAATTCAAATTTAAAATTTTTTAAAGGAAATTGTTAGAAATTTTAAAATGAACTAAAAGGTGATTATGTGTAAATGCTTGAATATATGAATATTAGCATTGTCCCTGAAAGAATTTAGAACAAAGAAATTGGGATCAAATAAATAAGGGTTTGATTATTTTTAAATTGGCTTATATTCCATTGTAAAACAGAGGTTTATCAGTGGCATAAGGAAGGTTTTTCACCTTTTTTGTATTGAAATCTTTGACATATACATATATATCTTTGCTAATCTTTGCTCATATGAGAGCAAAGATGTGCTCTCTCTATATATGTCTTTGTTCATATCAGACCTTCCTGATATCTCTACATAGTCTTAAATATAGAAACATTGGACGGGATGATCTCTGTGCCCCTTTTATCTATACTGTTCCATTATTTTATACTTTAACACATTATCTCTGTTTTATGATACAGAATGGAATATTTCTTTTTTCCAGAAAATGCTTATTGGTCAGTTGATACACATTAGGCCAATATGTGTTACTTGAGTGACCCATCTTCCTTCTTTTCATTTCTGTCTCCTGTCATTAACCTGGATATCTGGAATGTGGACCAGACTCTTCAAACGCTATGTAAAACCTCCTCACCTTTGTCCATTTGGTTGCTCAGCTACTAAGAGCACCATTTCTGAATTGAAGTTAACTGAATACCATTCTGTTTTAGAGATTATGACATACCTATTGGATTCTCATGCCTTTTTCCTCCCCTCACAAGGTTGAAGAGATGGTGCAGAACCACATGACTTACTCATTACAGGATGTAGGCGGAGATGCCAATTGGCAGTTGGTTGTAGAAGAAGGAGAAATGAAGGTAATTCCCCCTGAAATGTTGTAGATTGCCAAAGGCATCTCTGTTTCAGTCATATAATCATTACTATTGATATGAATAAGGATAGCACTTTCAACTTACCTTTAAAACAAATTATTACACGTGATCAAAGCAGTATCATATATGGAGCAATAGAATGTCTTTTTGCTTTTCTGGCTTTGCCTTTACTAAAATTTCTTTATGATTGTAATATAAATATATGATTAAACCTTTCTGTTTTGACTGGGCCATGAAGAAAATAAAATTTGGAGAATTAGATATGAAAGGTCACAATTAGCTGATGGTCCTATATTTGGATATTTCCTTTTTTTTTTTTTTTTTTTAACATACTGAATGTTGTGCCTAGATGACACTTTGTTTCTCTCCCTTTTTGGTCTATACCCTCCTTTTCTTTTCTCTTACTGCACCTTTATTTGATGTTCAGACATTGGTCAGTTAATCTTGTTTACATCCCTAAACACAGGGACGGAAAATAAGAGCAAGGAATGAGAGAAGAAAAAGAATATTGACATTTAAAAGGTACTATTGGCCAGGCACAGTGGCTCATACCCGTAATCCCAGCACTTTAGGAGGACATGGCAGGTGGATTACTTGAGCTCAGGGGTTCAAGTCAAACCTGGGCAACACGGTGAAACCCCATCTCTACAAAAAATACAAAAATTAGCCAGGTGCAGTGCCACACACCTGTGGTCCTAGCTACTCAGGAGGCTGAGGCAAAAGATCCCTTGAGCCAGGGAGGTCAAGGCTGCAATGAGCCACATTTGTGCCACTGCACTCTAGCCTGGGTGACAAACTAAGACCCTGTCTAAAAAAAATAGTATATATATATAT